TAAGAAGATTGTCTGTTTTGTAAATTACTGCAAAATACATTACAGTCTTAATAAATTGGAGGTTCCACCGAGATCCTGGAAATTAGGAGTGCAATTATCAATTTCGATGGTGCTGTCTCCTAATCCCAGAAATTTGCTGAATTTTTTACAAGTTTGCTAATACCAATTGCCGAGTTTGTTTATTTCAAGGAGAAATGGATGTAAGAAGTCTGCCGTTTTAAAGCCAGATTTGAAGCAGATCATTCAAAGGTTATCTTCTGTGCTTCTATAACTTCGCATCCGAGCAAAGAATCTGTCAGAACAGGATATTGCTGATCCTCTGAAGATAAGATTAACTTTTGGTTTCTTAAAAAAGTGTTTATTGAATTTTAATACTTATTTCAGAATTATAGTTTATCGTGTAAGATTTTGTTTAAAATAACTGACCCCAAAATTATTCAGCCTAAATTATAATTGATATTTGTGGTAAAGAAGTATTTTGAAATTATTATTTATGCTTTACTTTTATTTGTATTGAATTTTTATGTTCATAAATGATATGTGTAAGCCATCCCGGCAGTTATAAAAAAAAAGAACTCCCTAGCTGAGTTTTTGAATTTGTTGCCAAGCAGGTACGTGGAAAATAAGTAATACGTCTTTAACTGACGTAGTGTGATTTGATTATACTTGCTGAATTGGCAAAAGATTTTTTTTCTTAGTTCTCGCCATCCAGGCGTGTGGTAATAGATAGTAACGTCATCCCGATGTATTACAGATTGTATATTCTAAAAGTTGTATTGCCAAACTGGCAAAAATTGTTTTTGTTATCGCCAACCAGGCATGGAGATAGATAGTAAAGTCGTCAAACTGACGTGGGTAAAATTCCATTGTATTGCCTAACTGGCAAAGGTGTTTATATAGTTATAGCTAACGAGGCTTGTGAATAGTGAGTTAAAACGTCAACCCGACGTAGTATTATAGTATTTTGTGCCAACCTGGCGAAGTTGTTTAAATAATTCTCTCCAATTGGTTAGTGTGAATTTTGTATTTGAGAAATTAAGTCTCACCAGAAATTATACATTTTTAGTACAAGTACGATCTTTTAAATTCAATTTCAAAAGGATGCCTAATAAAGGTAACTTGTGTCAACATGTCATTCTCAGCTAGGAGTAAAAAACAGGATTTAAAAGTTCTAGCAGAAGAGTTAGGTTTAACTGTGAAACCTCAATTTAAGATTGCTCAGTTGCATAAACTGATTACTGAAAGTCTCGATTATGATGAGGAGTTTACTCGAGAACTACTGGCTGCAATTAGAGAAGAAAGGGAACGAAAAGAAGAATGCGAACGAAAAGAAGAATGCGAATGAAAAGAAAGAGAAAGAGAAAAGGAACGCGAAAGAGAAGAAAGAGAAAGAGAAAAAAAACGTGAAAGAGAAGAAAGAGAAAGAGAAAAAGAACGCGAAAGAGAAGAAAGAGAAAGAAGAGAAGAAAGAAAGAGAAAGATAAAAGGTACACGAAAGAGAAGAAAGAGAAAGAAGAGAAGAACGCGAAAGGGAGGAAAGAGAAAAGGAACGCGAATTAGAGGCTTTGAGCCACAGAAACTTCAGTTGGAAGCAATGGCTGCAACAGCACAGCCGGTAGAAACTACGCAGTTACCTGAGGAGCCTTTAAAAATCAGAATTCACGATGTCATTCCACGTTTCAACCCTAAAAAAGATGAAATAAGTTTATTTCTGGTGTTATTTGAGCGTCAAGCTAAAATAATGAATATACCTGCTGAAAATCAAGTGACTCAACTTATTTCATTTCTGCCTCCTGACATTGTTCAGCTTATTGCTAGAGAACCAGAAGAGAACGCGAAAAAGTATGAATATGTAAAAACTTTACTGTTACAACGATTTAAATTGAGTGCGGAAAAATTTCGACAACTATTTAATAAACACCAAAAAGCTACTGAAAGTACTTGGTATCATTTCTACTATGAATTAAAGAATTATTTAGTAGGATAGCTTAACGGATTAAACATTAAAAGTTTTGAACAGCTAAAAGATCTCATGCTGGTTGATCAAATAAAAAAGCGTACTTCTCCTGATTTCAAAGAACATTTTATGGATCAATGGACAACCATCATTTCACCAACTGAAATGGTTAAGAAAATTGAAGATTTTGAAGATGTGAGAAAAACAATAAAACCGAAATTTTCTGCCAATCAGACTGAGAGAAAATTAACAAAGGATCATTTTAAACCGCGTTATGATAATTTTGTGAAAAAAAATAGAGCATCCGCCTCATTTTAAGCATTCTGATAAGATGGGATGATTCAAAATACCAGAAAGATCACCGACAAAAGAAGTCAGTTTCCAAAACAAGAACCAAGGAAAATTTATATGATAAAAGATATCGACCACGTTGTTTCGAGTGTGGGATCATAGGGAACATTTTAAGCCTCAGTGTCCTTTCACTTAAAACCAAATGAAAGGGTAAATTGCATATCTTTGAATGATGATTTGTTAGAAACATACACAATTAACGGTTTAGTTAATGGGTATGAAATGCCTTATTCTTCGAGACACAGGAGCCACAGTAGATGTTATTTCTCGAAAATCACATAGATAACACAAAAATGACTGGAGAACAATATCTGGGTACAATATCTGTTAAATGACCTTTAGTGTGTCTACCATTAGCGGAAGTTGAAATTAATTGTGAACTCGGTCATATAAAGACAAAGGCAGCTGTTGTTACAAATGACCCAGGCAGATATATATTGGGTAACAAAACTGCCTCAATTGTTCAAAAATAAATCATTCTTAAATTTAGAAAAAATAAATGCAGTTTTGACACGATCTCAAGTAAAAAGATCTCGTGAAGAAGGTCGAAATAGATAAACTGAAATGGAGAAACTAGAAGAACTGACGTTTATTGACACTGACGAAGATATTTTACCGCAAGCTGATGAGAAAGACAAAGAAATTAAGAAAATAATTAATGCTAATTCAAAGGAATTAATTGAATCTCAGCATCAAAGCAGAGATCTAATCTCAATGCTTAGCAAAGCTAAAAGTGAAAATTTCAGAAATTATTTCAAAATTAAGGAGAAAAAGAAATTAGATAAAAATGGAAATGAAAGGGAAGTCATTGTTATTCTTGAAAAATATAGAGATCAAATGCAGAGCTACACAACTTTGATTCAGAACCAAACAAATAATAGTGCTAAGACTCAAGGTAATTTGGTCAATACTCACCCTCCTAAGAGTCAAGCATCTGTCAATGGTTCACAGAAATCAGACAACAATCTAAGCATTCATCTACTGATGAGAAAACTGAAGTTATCAATATGAAAGCTGACTCACCTTCTTCGCCTGGTGATTCACCTTTTATGGATAGTGTGTGTGATTATTCCTCTACAAGTTCATCAGTTCCTTCTTCCCCAAAAAGTAAAGATGTGTTTGATGGTAAAAAGTAAAGATGTAAAAAAGTAAAGATGTGTTACCAGCAGATCAAAGAAATTCTCATCAAAGAACTCATGAAGGTGCTTCTAAAGCTGAGAAATTAAAAATACGTTCAGAATGTAAGCTCGTGTCAGAAGACTTAGCAAAGAGGCATAAACATGATAAAGGATACTCAAAGTTGCCACATTCAATGAGAATGCAAGTAACAGATAAGAACAAAGGTTCATCTCGCAACAAGCAAAAACTATCTGAAAAGAAAGAACTGACACAATTAAACGATTCTCAGTTAAAATCTCTAGATGAATTGCCAAGTTCTTGATTTGATATACAAGTCAAGGAGAAGTTTTCAAACAGACAAGAGCGAGTTAGTTGTTGAAGTAGTAAAACTGCCGCAAAAGCCTCTATTACACTCACCTGATTTCAATAAGCAGTTCGTTTTGCAAATTGATGTTTCGGACTCTGGTATGGGTGTCATTTTAGCTCAAAATGATGAACGAGACAATGAACATCCAGTATTATACGTCAGTAAGAAGTTTACAGAAACTGAAAAAAAGTACTCTACCACAGAAAAGGAATGCGCCGCCATAATATTTGCTGTAAAGAAACTTCATGTTTTTAGACGGGCATACTAAATTCCTCATCATGACCGATCATAATCCCTAGTTTTGGCTCAAAAATAATCTGAGTCTAAATCCACGACTTATGAGATGGGCACTAGTACTACAACCCTACAATTACACGATCGTTCATTGAAGTGGTAAAAACCATAAAAATGTAGATGCATTAAGTCGTACTTCTTGGCCTGATTAAATAATTTGTTTCTCTATATAGATAAAAAAAAAAATATTTTGTTCCTTCCTCTCTTCCTCAGTGTATGTTATTATGTTATATCTTGTATTTCAATTCTGTATTGTGCTAATATTGTTGTTTTTGAAAAAAAAAAGAAAAAAAAAAAAACGTAAACTTTAATTTATGAAAATTTAAATTAAAGTTTATCTGGAGGGGGAAGAGGTTGTAATATCTTGTTATTTAATAAATAAATATAATTATTGTTGAAGTTGCAACTCCATATTTGTATTAAACTGTTACTCAGCAACGTGAGATATTGTTTTAAAAAGATTAAATTCTGAAGATTTTTACAGCTAGGAGTAGTATGAAATTTTTGCCACTTAAGAATTGTATGAAATTTGTCTATCACCGTGAACTAGAAATAAAATATATGTTCTACTAAGAAGATATTCTCTGTTTTGTAAATTACTGCAAAATACATTACAGCAGACATTTCATCACTACTACATTGCCAGTGAAACTGCCACATATCTGAAATATGCCATTGTAATAAAAAGGTCGTCAACACTTCACACCAGTAAAATGTGTGGCATAGCTGCTATGTGTCCAAACAATAATTAAAAAATATTAAGATAGGAAAACAAAAATACATTAAGAAATCCATATATTTCAAGCTTGTTTTAAGATAGCTATTTAAATGGTTTACAAATGCCTAAATTTATCAAAAGAGGCTTAAACATAAGAATGGTTTAAAAGTAAATATATAAAATAAAATACTAACCTTTAAAATTTCAATTTCTTTTTCCAAATCTAAAATTTTACTTTCATACTGGTTTTTAATAGCAGCTAGTTCTATTTCATGATCTCTCTTAATTTTATTTATATCAGCCTTTTCCTGAAAACAGACATAAGATAAAACAGTTGATTTAAGAAAAATTAAACATTTGCAACATTAGTTTCACTTTGTACACTATCAGAAACAACATAATTACTGAAAAACTAATATTTTTTTATATCTTAGACCTTATATAGTATAATGAAGGCATTACTTATCATTCATAATTTCACAAAACTGCTCTTAAATATGCAATAAAGCTCTTAAATATGCAACATATCTCAAATAATTGAATTGAAACAATAACAATAGCAAGTATATAAAAAACACACAAATTTCAGCACAGGAGAAAAGAATGTTTTTATGAAGTTTGCAAACATCTATTTAGTAATTAATTCAATAAACATTCAAACAGAAAACTGACAAAAGTAGATCTGATATTATGAGCAGCAAATATACATTATACATGTTTTGAATGATCATAAGGGCTTTATTTGTTAAAGTAAATTAAAACTCTATGCAATGAAAACTTAATGCAATGAAAACAAATGCAGTAAAACGTTGGTTTATGAATTTAATTTGTTACTGAAGACTTATGCACGAAAATAATTTTTCCCAGGAATTTTTGTAAAATGGATTAATTCTTTTTTGCTTATGTAAATTTTGCAATATTCTGCACAAATAAAAAAAATTAAACTATAAACAATAAATAAACTACAACAATTAAAATTAGCAAATATAAAACAAGAAAGATAAACACAGTATTAAATGGATAAAATAGACAAAAACTCAGTTTAATTTTACTGTACATTGAGCTCCATTTCATTCCAAATTTGCCCAATGTGATTTATTTTTGCCTATGTTTTAAAATGTTTCTAAAGTGAGACAATACACTGTAACTGAGACTGCTTATGCTGCAGTTTGCTACTGGTTTATCAGGATGATATTGATGATATTAAAACTTTGTGTCTTATCCCATTTTGCTCAAATTTCACTAATGAGAGAACTAGGATATACACTGCTCGACATTGAAAATGCAACACCAAGAAGTGGTCAGAAAGTGATGAAATTTGGGAAAAAGAGACAGCAAGCAGCAATAAGTGATCTTTATTTCAAAATGATAGTCAGAATACAGAGCGAGAATAGTATCAGCTCAGTAGGATGTAGGACCACCACAGACAGCGATGCACAAAGAAACACGTCTAGGCATAGAGTCAATAAGACTGCGGATGTTGTCCTGAGGGATGTCTCTCCATTCCCTTTCAACCATTTGCCACAGTTCGTATTCTGAATGAGGGAGGGGTAGATGTCCAAAGGAGCGATATTGGAGCTGTATGATGGTTGTGACAAAAAATCCCATTTGAGTCCAGCCGGTGAATCCAGACACATGTGGTCTTGCATTATCTTGATTTAAAATTACCTTTTTGTAGTGGAACACAGTTGCACATTATCCCTTGATAGCGATGCCAACATGGATTAGCATCTTGCTGTACACCTTACTGTCAAGGGTTTTACCATTTTCAGATATTTTATGTGTATAATGCTACGGCAATTCCACCAGATACAAAGCATGATCTTTTCGTGAATCAAACTGCATTTTGTGACGCTGCTGATGGGCTCATCGGACTCAGACCAACCCCCTTTTCAGCTTGCGTTATAGAAGTAAAATCCCTTTTCATCACAACTGATTATTCGGCCCACAATTTTGTTCTTGCATTGATATTTGAGCAGATTAGTGCTGGCTCGAGCACGTCTGTCCTTATCTGCTTGAGCCAGCTCATGCAGCACCCAGCGATTGAACTTGTACATCAAGTTTATGCAATGCAGAGCACGACTAATGGGCATGGCTGTAATGTCTAACTCCTTAAAAAGCTCTCAAGTAGTTGCATACTGATCTTCTTCAACAAGTTCTCACAAGTAGGCTGACCAGAGCGTTCTGCTTCTTGAATGTCATAGTCTGTGTTTTGAACTATCAGTATCAAACCTTCACAATGTAATATGTTGTGACATTAGTACCTGTAGCTGTAAATATAATTTGGTGACATTCTAAAATAGTTGATTTTTTGCAATAGAACTGGAAGTAAATGATGGTTCTAATCAGGTAGCATGATAGTTCCATTTCGGACATTTTGTACTTAATGATAACGATATTTTTACACATTTCACTAGACAGTATTCTAATGTGTGTGTGTGATTATGGCAAAGCCTCGAGGGCTATCTGCCTAAGGGGAGGACTTTCTAAGGGAAACTGGCTCGTATACACGTTACACATGGGGAAAACCACGAAAAGTCCCATGCAGCCAATCCGTTCGTGGGATTCGAACCTCGGACCGAACTACCAGTGTTCAGCGACTTTACCGCTCAGCCGCTGGTGGGCTTCAGACAGTATTCTAAAGCGAGTATCTTTCTTTCAAATGCCAAAAATCGTTTGACAAAATATGGTTAAACATGTGAACAGGAATTTTTCATGTAGAAGATATTTGTAGTGGTGGAAAACTTTCGTTAAAACCCGATATATTAGAACTCCATGTAAAATTGCTTCAGGACTCTGTTATACACTCAGCTTTAGAACATTGTTATATGCATTTCTTTTTCATTTACCAAAATGCAAAACATGGGAAAAGGTGCCAGAAGATGAATGCAGTTAAGCAAAAACAGCCTCAAAAATGCATATTAGTAGCTTTGGTGTGGTGCTAACCTTCTTCTAATTGTATAATATCACTATTTATATCGAGAAATTTCATAGTGAAATTCTCTTGCATACATAAATAAAAAAATATTTCAATAAAAGAAACGAAAAATTTACACATGCATCAATAAATGAAACGAAAATTTTACACAGCGGAGAAAAAATAGTTGAGAAGCGATCAATGACAAATAGCTAATATGGCGAAAATTCCCCCTTCTCTACTTATTGGCGCCACACCAGGAGAGATAAGACATTTGAATCCAGAGTCACGTGATCGCACATCTGGTCGAACGAAGTCTCTCTTTTTTTTTTCTGCCGCGCCTACTTGCCGAAAAGAATCCAGAAGAGAATGCCCGAGAACCGGGGGAATGAGTCATAACTCGCAATAAGGAAAGAACAAAAAAGAAGTTTTCCCCCCTTTTCACGCATTATCACTGCCTTTGGAGAAAGAAAGGAAAAGTTTTCACCACACACACTGACCTTGCGTTTTCTACTTTCAAAGCAAACAAAATTACCCAGATCAAAATAAATAATTCATCATTATTCCTACTTCCTTTTGAACGACGATCCCCGGAATTTCCAGGTATCGAAGTTCAAAATCCCCGGAATTCCGGGGTTTTCCCGGAGCACAAACACCCCTGACAATTAAACGACAGATTTTGTTAAACAATTCCAATCTATACAAATTGACAGGTATTCCTACAATACATGAGCACATATTCCAAAAAAGCATGTATTCCATTACATATAATATAGCTAATCATGCTGGTAAATGGCTATAATAGTGCCCAATTTCTTCAAGTAATTAAAAACATCTACAGAAAAACAGAAACCAATTCCCAATTGTAACAGACATGAAATACAAAAATTATTCAGTACATATTATATATACCAATTAATTATACCATACAAATGCACATGTTTCAAAGGCTGCAATTAATTTTTCATTACAGTTAGTATATTTACCAAGCCATCTTACTATATAAATGCATGTTTCAAATACTGCAACTAATTTTTCATTACAGTTAGTATATTCCAATTTGCCAGTACATAAAATGAATCAGCTCTAAGTTGAATTGGCTGTAATAGTTCGCAATGCTTAAAATAGTTAAGAACATCTATTGGAAAACAGGAACTTATACCCAATTGTGATGGACATGATATATAGAAGTTATTCTGTACAAGGCTGATATAATTCCAGATTCTATAAAAAGCTACAAAACATCTTCAGCTGTTCATTCCTATGTGCAAATACAAAACACTAAACACTGTATCAAATATAGAAAAGACATTTACCAATTTTATCAAAACTCAATAGACCTAAATATTTCATACATTTAATTATATCTCTAATAACAAGGAAGCATTATAGCTGACAAAATAATTACATACAGTTCTAAATTCCTGTTCTTTCTTAGAATGCACATATTCCAGTTCACCAGCAAAAGTAATTGTAATTGACTTATAATAATGCAATAATAATAATAATAAAATGGCAAAAATAATAATAAAAAGAACAAAATAGTAATTATAACAAAATATTTATAATTAAAGGCTATAATATTAACATATACAGATACAGTTACCAAATGCCTCAATAAGTTATAAACAACCACAGAAATTATTCCCAGGTGGAAGTACAGAGCATATCCAGTACTTAATAGCCCTAAATATTCTATGCATCAAAGTTAAACACACAATCGTAATTACATGTCAAATGGAAAAAATTTTTTTTAAAGGAGTAGTTCGTTCATGCTATCCATAGTGCAAATATTATGCGAAGGTTGTTGGAAATGTATACATCTCATTACAAATATTAAAAATTTGAGTTAATCTGTGCTGAAGAATTTGATATTTAAATAATGTTTTACTCCATTCACTCCAGTTTAAGTCTGATGGTCTTTGCAGATGAAATTCAGCAGTGAGTGGGCAAGAAAAAGCAAAACAGTCTGGAGGCCCAATAATTCTACAGTGACATTTGTCATCTTCCTTGAGATGAAATTGGAATAAAAACAACAGAAAGGGACCATGTTCCATGAGAAAAGTTGACTGTACTGGAGATGAAAACAAAAATGTTTCTGAGACCTTTGGCAAAAATTTAAAAGTTCTTTTGCCTGTTGTGGAATGTTCCCAGTCTTTTCGCCATTGCTGGAGTAAGTTTTCTTTTGTACATCTCTTAATATAAGAAAATGGTAAAGGAAATGAATATTGAGGAAGATTATTGCTTCTCACCACTTCTTTTGCCAACTCATTGCCATAAATTCCCCTGTGAGCGGGAACCCAGCTCAGTAAGGGTCTAGAAGGGGCAGGAAGGTTAAGAAGGATGCTCTGCTGCTATTGTATTTCTTGAATTTCCCCCCTTCATGGCCTCCAGATTAGAAAGTAAATCCACTTGTGATGGAAGACTTGAAATATGCACTATTTTTTTAAGTGAAAGTAGTTTAGCTTGAAAAATAGAGTTGGCTGGCCTCAGTCTTCGACACCATGAATACATTGGTTTGCCTTGTGAATTACACATAGTCCCCATCCTGTCCCTTGTTCCAAATGAGATCCATCTGTGTAAATCTGACGTTGACTTTTTGACTCATTTGAGAAGGTTGTCATTTTGTGCTGGATGACACAGAAGTTCTGAGCTCCTAATTTCATAACTAAAAGGATTGTATGAAATATTCCACAGTTTATTCTCTAGACAAAGACACAAAATTCGAGTCAGCACCACTTCCCTATTTGCTGTCAAGTCCAACTCTGTTTGTTGCAGTGATGGGCCTGGGTTCAAGTCTCAGAGAAGGCATGGTTTTAACTGTCTGTCTCTTCATGGGAGGCAGTGGTGGCCACCTATTAGGTGCTTCCACAATGAAATGGCCACCACTTCCAGCCCTTGTAGTGGCACAAAGGCTAATGGCTATTAAATAAAGCACCCAGCTATTAAAAAAAAAATCTAGCAGTTTCAATTCATACCAATAACTATTGTTACAAATATTTTTAATTCCTTTATTAATGAAATTTCTTTAAGATTTAATCTTGCTAAACAGTGAAAAATTAGCAAAATTCAGGTTTATGTTAAAGAAATAAAGAAACTGTGCCTATTAAATTACACTGGTTATCATAAATTAAGGAAAAATCACGATTACTGAAAAAGTTACATGTAGAATTTTATGAAACTTACCCACAATATACAACATATAGTAAGGTATCAAATAATATAAACAAAAATTACCAGACAATTATGGTAGTATAGAAATTAGCACATGTATAAAATGAACAAATCAAAGGTGTCAGTTTGCTATATGAAAAGTACCTTCAATATGGAATGGTCGCCTCTAGAAGGAATACAGCACATACAGCGATGCGTGATGCTTTCAATTATGCGGTCTATCAGTCCCATAGGAAGCAAGAGCCATTGCTCTTGCAAAGCAGTTGCAAGCGCGGCAAGGGTCTGAGGGGCCAGATTGAGAGCAGCTAGACATCTCTCTAAAGCATCCCAAACGTGCTCGATAGAATTCAAGTCTGGGGATCGAGCTGGCCACTTCATGCACATAATTGTTTCCTGTTGAAGATAATCATCTACGATGCGAGCCCTGTGTGGTCTTGCATTGTCGTCTTGTAACAGGAAAGCTTCACCTATTGCCCCGGCATATGGGCGCACATAAACATCAAGGATGTCATCTCTATAAATCGAGGCATTCATCACGGTTTCCCTTGGAAAGACATGGAGGTCTGTGCGTCCACCCAAAGAGATGCCACCCCAAACACAGACACTGCCTCTTCCATATGCATCTCTTTAACGGATGTTGGACAGATGATAATGCATTCTAGGTTCTCTCCATATCAAATAATGCATACTATCGCTTTCCAGACTAAACCTGGACTCATCCGTAAAGATAACAGCCCTCCACTGATCAGGCGTCCAGTGGACATGTTGTTGTGCCAACTGAAAATAGTCCCTCCTATGGCATGACGTGAGCGGCACACAAATGGCTGGTCATCTCACATACAGACCACCTTTGTGAAGCCTTCTACACACAGTTGACGTTGATACCAACCTTCTGGTGGCTGCAGCAAGGGAGGATCTAAGAAGAGTCGGAGTAGCGGTTCTATTCCTGCGTGCACATAATGTCAAATATCGGTCATCGGCGCTCGTCGTAGCAGTTGGTCCTCCTTGGCTTAACCTCCTAGATGCCGAATCTGTGGTTTGAAATTGCCTCCAAAGTCTATGAACCACAGAAGGACTCGCATTTAGCCATCTGGCCACTTCTGTTTGACTTTATCCTGCCTCTAGTCTCTCAATGGCTTTCCATCGTAGTTCTGCAGGCAAATGATGCCTGGAGGTCATTGTTACAAATAGGCTATGTCACTATCCCAGTGAAATATGTGGGCTTGCTCTCAAATATGGACTTTTATGCTCCTCGCACATAACGTATTTCGAGTGCAGTGCCACTACTTTGCATATTGGAGTTTTACTCAGCTACTCTTACTTAGCAACATATTCAAATATTACACTTATTTTTGAGGGAGTTATGGCTACTTTTGTGATTTTTATTTATAAAATTTGCATGGGAAAAAATGATTAAAAATTTTTTTACTTACATTTAAAATTGAATTCCACTTCTCTAACTGTGATTTTTCTTCTTTTAAATGTTGCAACTGAAGTGCTAGTTTCCTATTTTCAGAGTCAGGCCCTTAAAAATTATACTTAACATTACAAACTACAGTTTCACATAATGGCTGTGTTATAATATATATTTTTAAGAAAATAAATTATTTTGCAATGATAATTTATTTGATGTTTTGCCTTTTAGTTTAAGGTATGGTAATAATAAAAACTTGAGAGATTATTTTTCACAACATTGAAATGTACAACAATAACTTTAAACAGTTTAAAGAAACTGTAGGTATGGAAAAAAATTAATTTATGAAAGGTTTATTTATGAATATAAATTGGCTGCTTAATAACACGGTTTTGACCTGCACAACTTCTTTTCACTCAAGATATGACCTCAACCACTCAAGATATTTTTTTCTTAGTACATATATTTTGAGGGTAAAATGACAACTTGAACAAAATTTAAGTGCTGCTAAGGAACATGCATGTAAAAATGGTGGGAAATTAGGTTTTGCATCACTACATTAAAAACAAAATAATCGAAAACAAAGTATCATATATTTACCACAAAAAATTAACATTTACAAAAATGAATATACTGTAGTGGTATTTGCAAAAAATTTCACCATTTCAGTTGAACGTCAAAACTTTTACTTTTTTCAAACTTAACAAAAGTATAACATTTCAAACATAAGGATCCTAAACGCATCTTCAAGTAAGGATCTTTACATTTCTCCCTAGATATTTATTTGGTAGCATAGCAATGTAGATATTACAGTCTTAACCCCTTAAATGGTAGCTGAACAAGATGAATTTTGTTCTGTACAGTCTGTATGCAGACACAGTAAAAACCGGTCTGAAAATTTTCATCATGTACTTTAAATATAGTTAGTTTCTATACCTGACACTGAAAAAGGCAGCCTATTGTGTTAAACCAGACCCCCAAGATGTTAATACCCAAATAACTTCTAAAGCATTGCAAGCATTTGAAGAAGAAAGAAGCAGTTTTGTTCTTCAGTAGAACTTCCTGAAGTTGAAAATTCTGTGGTTACTTCTTTTATGGCACTGACTGCTAGTGGTAGCTTTGATACAGAAAAAAGAAAATATGCTTTATACTGAAAACTGAATATTTCTAAAATATTCTAAAACTGAATAACTGATGAATAATATATTTCTAAAACTGAATAACTGAATATATAGTATTTACTTCTAGCATTTGGCTAATCATACGTTAAGCACATGAGGACTCGGGCAAATCACTGCATGATGTTTTTTTTTTTTCATCCTGAGGTAACTTGGGCAAATCAGGGAGCAGGTTAAACTCCTCCCCTCATGGGGTATTTTTTTATGAAAGGTTTCTTTCAGCACAAATGAAATGTTCAAGCAAAACAAATACAATAAGGTATATAACAAATACTATAAGGTATCAGACCAAATGAATACAATGTTAAGAAAAATTTAAACAATGAAGATTTAAACTTTCCCCACAATGTATACAATGTATATTTTTAGCTGTGAGCTATCTGAATACAATGACTAAACTGTAAATATTTTCATGAACCTTCTCCTTTCTATGAAAAACTTTATGGTAAAAAGCTATAAGATCAAAGCCCATCATAATAGTTTAGAACCAGCCCCAGTGTTTTTATCCAACTACACTAATGAATGATGAATTTATGAGGTCTATTTATAAGATATTTTCTCCTTTCTTTCTGGATGCCTTCATGGTGAAATTGGAAGCATGCTCGATCCATATTCGACAGGTCCAGAGTTCGAGTCCTGGTGAGGACATTGCACATTTTCCTTCAAAAACCTAATGACTCTACATATTATAGAATTCTAATTTTTGTACTGCAGAAACAATGGCAGCACACTTCCTTTTGCTTATACTGTAGTTCTGTTCATAAGCTGAAAACGTTTTGTTGAGAAACATTATTACATGTTCTTTACCATTAGCATTTATCTTATTATTTATGCCAATACCAATATTTGAAGCATCATGCTGAACAAAAAATGGTTGAGAAAGGTTCAGACTATGTAAGATTGAATTCCCTGGTAATTATTCCTTGAGTTCATCAAAAGCTTTTTGGCAATCAACATTTTAATGAATGGTTGGTTTGGAACACTTTCCTCTTAATAGATCTATCAGTGTTGTGCAGAAATCACAGGAAATTCCTAAATATACATGAGATAATATCCTGCAAATATCCTAAAATTGATTTAATGCATTTTCATGGTAGGTATAGGGAAGTCCTTTATGGCTTGGACTTACACTTTTGCTGGTCTTCTTTGATCTTGTCCTACTACATGACCTAGGTATTTCATAATCATTTGAGCAAACTGGCATTTCGAAAGCTTAATATGTAGTTTAGCAACTTTCGTCTTCTCCATAATAATTTCTATGTGTTTCAAATGATCTTTAAATTTTTCTATTTATTTTCTGATAATATTGAATTGAGAGCAGGATACCTTGCTAAATTTCAGACATTTCAGTATCTGAACTACACTTGAGACATGGTATTTGAATTTTTTAATAATCAACAGTGTTAATTTTCCATCATGGTGTTCTTTTTTGAAAAAGAGCATCTGGTCTTTCAACATATAACTCACACTTTTACAAGATTTTCTTTTATCTTCTCCATATAGTGTATATTCTTCAGTTCAATGCGCTTTTTTTTTTTTTTTTATTTAAATATTGCAGGAGAGGTCTTTATCAGATCTAATTCAAAACGTTTACATTCCACAAAAGGCAAAATTTCATTTTCAGTCAGTATGTCTTTGCAAGTTCATTTTTAGAATTTAACTCATATGTTGAGCATATATCTTCCATTTCTTTTAGAAGCTGCTAATGAGCACAAGTTTGAATGGTGTTTGGATTAGAACTCCACATTATTTTGTTTCTTCAAATAATGCATGTGATTTGTAATCTAAAAGGTATCTTCCTTGATCTAATAAGCCTCTTTAAGACTCCAATGTTTATTATTATATCATCAAAATCACATTCGGTCTCCCACCCCAGTCCTCTCTCACAAATCCACATGAGAGTACTTTCGACGTTCCACATATTTAGTGCCACACCAACAATATAGATTTACAAACATCCAAGTCTTCTTGATTCGAACCCGGGCCTGTCAGTACCGTAGTAGGCTCCCCTAACCATTATACCATCTGGGTGACACTTTTTGCTATTAAGTTTATAATTTGGTCATAAGTTTATTTATCGATGTAAGTGATAGAAATTTTTACTAAATGTTAAAAGTGTTTGAGGCAAAATTTGAAATATGCATTTAATGAAAAAATTAATTTAAGAATACTATTTTTTGAAACATATCTGTATTTATCTAAAGCTACATTTTCTAAAAATAATTCCATAAAAATATTTGAGTAGCATTTCAAAATTTAACATACATGGGTTCAAGATGTAGAGAACCAAAGTAATGTATGTGAGGCAGAGCTTATGTATCATTACATGAGTTGCTAGAAAAACCCAGGACATATTACTAGAAAGGTATGTGCATGAATTATCAAGATATTTGAGAATTACACTTTTGCTAAAAAAATAAGCAACAAATGCTAAAAGAATAGGTACAAATGTTAAAATGGAAATTAAAACATACAATTTACATACGAGGTAGAAGTTGCATCAGCCACTGCAAATAAGCAACCAAAATTAGAATAAAACGCAATCCTACAGTCGCATCACAATGTCTTAAAAAGGGAGCATGCTGGGCCTGTGGGTCAGTTCACAAGCAGAAATAGTTCTATGTATTCCGAGATAGCCAAAGTGGAAAGCATGAGCCAAAGACACCATTAAAAAAATGCATTGGAGGGCCGTCAGAATGTTGCAAGATAATCCACTGTTGGGAGAGAGTTTAATGTGCATTGTAATGTCATCAGTAGACTGTACAATCATTACCAAATAGATCAAAACCCCTGTAAAATATGTGGGTTTCGATGCCAAAGGATTAGCAATGGCAGATGATTGCTTCCTGCTCCTGTGTGCAAGATGCCGTAGATCACTAAAAGCATGAGAGCTGGCATCACCTCTCTCTGTTCCATCAGGTTGGCCGATATGAACCCAAACCATGTCATGTTGACTGCACGAAGGTTAACTGTACGCCCACCGACATACAGCTTGAGTGATGCAGAGCTACTATTTGAAGAGGGAAACCATCATTCTGCTGTGTCCCATTAGATCACCAGACTTGAATCCAAAAGAACATGTATGGGACATGTTGAGACGTGAATAGTAGGTCGCAGTGAGCCACCAGGCAAAGCCCCGATGTGCTTTACTATAAGAACGGATGCTACTGCCACAGCAAGTGATCAAGACGTCTACCGCTAGCTTGCCTCGCCATTGCCAAGTATGCATTTTAGCTAGGGGGTATCATACCGCTATTAGCGTGATGTTTCCATTGCACATTCTTCCAACCCTTTTAGTCTTTCACAATGTGATGTTCACAATCTATGTGTTTTTGAATGTCTTTGCTTTATTATTTGCTATGTGGTCTAGTAATGCCACGCCAACCTTTTGATCAATTTCATCCATATTTATTAAATAGTTTTTGTTTTATTCTTGTTTTGCCTTCGTTGCTTATTCTTTGTAAAGGAGTGTAAATAATTTCAAAGTACAGCATACTGATTACTTAAATTCTAAGAGGTTTTGCTGGATGTCATAGTGAAACAGTGTGACTCTCAGAGCCAATTACGAGAAGGATATGATTCTCCTATTTCAGAAATTGAAACATTCGGAGACTTATTGAATAATGTGTTATACGTAATAATAATAACTGAATAAAAAATGTAAAATTTTCATTCATTTACATCAAATGTAAATATAAGCCTGCTGTTCTTGCAAACTTTAACAATTTTTTTTAAAACAAACTCCCTTTTTATCCTGACTTGTGGACCTTATTGTTATGAAGTTAGGCCATTCTTAGTTTATATCTCTAAAGAACTTCCAAATTCCCTGATAACAGTTGAGTGAAAACCTTACCTTCTTAAAAAACACACTTTCATCACAGTTAGGTAGAAGCATGGCTGCATGATCAAGGTCTAAGAAACTTTTTCTCTGCCACCCAACAGGTAGACTGTATTCTTGTTAATAACATGTTTTAAAAGTTTGAAACATTAATCAGACATGCTGAATTGCTTGAATTTTCCTTGTTGTTTACAATGTCAGTCTGCAATAGCTCCACGTTGACTCATGTGGTTTCAATTCTGTATTACTCAAATGTTAATTCACATTCAGAAAGGCAGTCACAGAAAAGGGATGAAAATTTTAGATGGCCAAAATTAAAAATCTTTTTAAAACCAAAAACTGCTTTTAAAAAAGAAAGAAGCATTTAAGGAATACAGAAACCTTGTGTACAGGAGCTGAAATATAAGGTGGGGTATTATTTTGTATATAACACAATGAAGTTTCTGGATAAATTATGCCTAATCTTAACACACTGATGCTTAAAATTAAAAGATATATTTAGAATTAACATTACTGTAGAATGACTCATTTAAAAAAACACTGAAAATAACTTAAATGAACAGATTTCGTGCAAAAACCTACTTTCTGTTATTCTTGTTATTTTCTAGAATATGCAAAAGCTAAAAAGGAAACACAATGAATGTTATCTTCTTTAAATGTAAAGTTTTAAGTTTAAAAGTGATCAGATACTGTTAGCTATACTTAAAAAATATTTAGATAAAGGTAAGGGGAGATGTGGGGTCAGTAGACTCGAGGTGGTTCAAACACAGTTGGACTTCTCCACAAAGTTCTCCTCCATAAATATTCCCCAAAGTGCAATATGAAGAGTCAAATTGCTAATTAAGCATTGGAACAATTAGTCATCTTGCTCTTTAAGGCACCATATCTGAGGATAGTTATTTTTCATTGTTTGACACAAAAAACCTTAAGCAGCTGCTAGATATTTGTCTTGCGACTTCTCAGCAACTGCAGATACTAGAATAAAATGATTTACTCCTAATGGAAGGCTTTTCATAGTTTTTCACAAGTATAATATAAACATAAGAAGGCCAAAATCTGTTTCCTTCAAATGCCTGAAGCGCCTGTGTATATGAATTTCTGTTGGAATTGATCCCCCCTTGGTCTAGTAGACTGCTACAGCACCAACAATAATCTACTTGAGTGAAGTGATTACTTCTTTCTTGAGGATATTTGTGTGGGTTTTCTTTAGGACAGGATTACAACTGCAAGCATCAATAGCTAACAAATGTTAAACAAAGGAGAAGGAAGGTGCATTCAAATAAGAAAGCTAATTTAGTTGCTCTAAAAGTATGATTGGTATGTCATTTAAGAACCCCTGAAATCAATAAGCCATGTACTCATGCGATGGGGAAAAGCACAAGATAGAAAGGCTTTTGAGTGACTTTGCTATGAAAGAGTTAAAAAAATAAACTCTCCGAATGATTTATTTAAATGAATTAAACAAATGATGAATAATAAAGTAAGATCATTATGCCCCAAAACAAAATTTCTCATTGTTAATTATTGCCAATATTTCTTATACTATTAAATCTTAATTTATGAATAAAATGAGATATTTTATTCCCAATGTATGTCATATGCACACAAGATTTCTTCCTTCTAGCCATCATTATGTTGAGATAAATAATACTTATAATTACATAAAATGAGATGATGAAAAATTCAGATACAAGAAATTAAATTTATCATAATGCTACCACATATTTTTAGATTTCATAACTTACTGACATCCCTACTTCTGAATTTACAGATAATGTGTTAAGAACTTACTTTTCTCATTTGGTATTTCCTCACAATTTGGTTGAAATTTTGCAAGTCTGTTTCGTAATTGTTCTGATTCTTGAATCTAAACATGAAAATAGTACATACATAAATACACAGAAGAGAATAATATACAAGTGCCAGTGCACTAAAACTATACATGCATTTGAACAACACGCATATTCCTAATAACAAATCTATAAATTTGAATGTTTCAATGATTATTTTTATCAAATGTGAAAGAAACATATAACCAATTAAGGAAAACAGTTTCTTAAAATTATCTAATGACCACTTCAGCTGCTTTTCCCAGAAAGAGACTAATTATTGTACAAGTTTCACATAAGTTTATGCTAGTAAAATCTTTCTATAGAGTAGTGAATATAGTAGCTACCAGTTTTAAATCACAACGAAAAGACAATAAGGAGTCATAGTAACTTTGTATGATTGCAAAATAACAGTACCCATACAAACATTTACTGCAATATATAATATACACCACGGGGAATTCAGTCAGCATTTTATTTAGCTGTTTAGTATTTAGTTTTATTTTATGAATAGAAAATTTGACTTTTATTCATGTTTTGGTATTTATCAACATTTACATACTTTTTCTTGTTTAATTTATAAAACACATTAAAAAAAATAATCTAAATTTAAATAAATGTACAGTACAAAGTCCGTAATCCGGACTTGTCAGGACTTTGATTCCGGATTAGGGGTTTTTCCACATTATAGATCATCAATTGAAATCTGGTAAGATGGCATGCATAAATTATACAATTAAAAATATGAAACTGTAATTTATGAAATAAAGAGCAATTATGATCTAAAGGGTGTCAAATTTTACAAAAAAAAAAAGATTAATATTTATACTTTATTAAACATTTTCTTTCAACGCGCGCATGCGTAATGTATGCGCATTCTTTACGCGCATGCGTAAAGTTTGTGGCTTTGACGTCCGGATTATAGATCATTCCGAATAATGGACGTCCGGATTACGGACTTTGTACTGTATATGCATTTTTTTAATTTTGGAAAGGTAGGGGGAGAATGATTCTCTAACAATGATGAAAAAGGTGCATGGGGCTAAAAATGTTGAGAATCGCCGATATAGACAATGCAGACATCAGCAAATCTTGAAAATAATAGCCTTTCAATGCTCTTTTCATCGTGGATGTACTGTTAGGGAAGATATAGAAGGCTTCCATGGTGAGATTAACTAATCCTATAGAAAAATATCAGATTACAGTTATATTTGTGCTTGCTGTTGCACAAAATTATATCTATGGCTCAGTGATCTCAAACTGCCGCCCATGAATACATTTTAATTATGTATTTGTTGCAAAGATTTTTAAAGTAGTTTGAGTAAAAAGTAGTAAACTACTTCAAAGTAGTTTGAAGAATGGATTTACATTATTTTTATTACCATCAAAAGTAAACATTATAACACGTTAGAAAATCTACAAATAAAGCTTATTCAAAGATCTGAAGATGCAAATTTTGTGATATTTTTGCTGTTAATAATATTGCAAAATTTCCTTCGCAGTAGTTTTATTGTTTACTTAGGTTCTGACAAGTACTTAGTTAGCGAAATTTAAAATTTATTAAAGCATTTTTTATTCTGGTTAAAAAAAAAAAAAATTCATTTAGTTGAAACAAAGCAAAGAAATGCTGGACTGTCGACTGTTTTCAGATTGTGCAATCAGCTCACATGCAATCTGAGTTTGAGACCACTGCTCTAGCTGTTTTTCTCATAATTCTGATCATCACAATTCCATCACAGTCATTACCGAGTATCTGTGACAGTTCAAATAAAGGCCTGCACTGTTGCAATCTGCAACTGTGCAGACCATGATCTGTGGTATAAGAGATGCTTGACTCCTATAATCTGTTATTTTAAAATAGAATCTCCAAGGTAATTTTCTGCCATCCAGTTTGACTTGCAAGCATGGTTGCAAGTCAAACTGGAAACAGTTCCAAGAGAACTGTTGAGTCACTTAAATTTTTTCCTTCCCACTTCATTTCTGTTCAGCATGTTTCGATCCTGCACTAAATAATATTATGCACTAGAATGCTAAATTATTTCATGGACATCATTATCAGATGATTTTGTAAAGGAAAAGATAAATCTAAAATCTTATTCATTTCATTATATAAAAACAATTATATTAGGAGCTTGAATTAATTCTTGCTGTTGACACAGATAGGGCAGTGGTTGTAATAGTGCAGAATAGGAGACAGCAACATAAGATGTATTTAACCCCTTAATCTACAATGACGGGCCAAACCCAACTTTCACGGGCATAGCCCGGATATGGTGATTGGGCCAGAAGTGAATATTATGTGGAATATTTGATACGCAATTACAGTCTGATGCAATAATTGTGGTAGACTCAAGTATTACAAAATGTTTATTTATACAAAACTCCAAAATACAAAATTAGTAATCTGTAATGCTACGATATATTTCAAAGCATTCTGGTACATGCAACGGAACTTTACACTTTTTACACTCGTGTTCTATGTGGATTTTCTTGTGCTTGATCTGCATACTGATTCGTTTCGGGTACAATATTGTTCCAAAATATGTCATCAAATATTAGATTAAATATATCAAATTCTCCTCTACTTCCTCCTAATTGACATAAGGCTTCCTCTCTTATGCCAAGAGTCATTGTATAGACCCAGATTTTTGGACTATTTCTTATTTCTTTCCAAAGTCAGGACTCTGGTAGTTGATCGTCATCGCATGTATCATCAATAATTATTCGGCTATACTTTCTTCGAAAATTACATAATTCGTCATGTTTACGATTGCCCAGATTAGTGTGTTACGCAAGTCGTGCAAAAGTTCCAAACTCTGTGCGAGCTTGTATACAATTTCGGCCCAACATCTTCGAATCTAAATCGTATCGTTTATTCTACATTACTCATTTACTATACTATATTGCAGTTATGGTTAAAGATAATAATAGATACAGTTACAGTTACATATATAACATCTCCCTTTTTTATAAAAAATAATAATAGTAGTAAAATTAAACATATTCTTTTAAATAATAAGGTTTCTTAACAGTCCAGATCGTAACAGTACCAGATCGAGTGACGTAGTTATGTCCATTTGAAAAATTTGATGATACTATACCTCTTTCACTATTTGGTGACACAACACTTCTGTTAGATTTTGAAGGACTTACAGGCACATCTAAATTTGTAGTGCTCCTACTATTTTCATGTATCTCGGGTTCATCTATAACTTCATTCTCATAGTTGTTTTGTATTGCAAACTCTTCCTGATTAGTTCCTTTAAGAAGGTCTCTTCTGTTCCTTTCTACCTTTCTCAATTCTTCCATCTGTTTTTATAATCCTATATGAACGTGGTCTTTCTGCTTTTTCTATAATTTTCCCTCTTTCATTTAGTTTTTTCCCTTTCTCTTTTATGTAAACATGATCTCCTGTTTTCAGTGGTTTTAATGGTCTTGCATTTCCTATCATAATAACTTTTTTGTAAGGTCTGTCTTCTTCAGTAAATGTTGTTTATTGTCTTCATATCGTTTAGCTTAGACAAAATTCTCTTTTATAGGCATCAATCCATTTACTTTTCTTCCAAACATCAATTCTGAAGGTGACTTAATTTCATCTGAAATAGGAGAGTTACGATATTCCAGTAAAACTAAATATGGATCCTTGTTGTCAACTACAGCTTTTTCTAACATTCGCTTGACAGTTTGAATATGTCTTTCAACCATTCCATTAGACTGTGGGTATTTTGGACTTGAAGTTCTGGTTTCAAAATTCCATCTTCTTGCAAAATCTTTAAATTTTCTGCAATTATATTGTGGACCATTATCCGAATATACTATTTTCGGAATACCATGTCTTGCAAAAATTGATTTCAATTGCTTTATCACTGCTACACTTGACAAATCTTCCAAATGTCCAATTTCAACATATTTGCTAAAATAATCTGTAACCATTAGATAATCCCTTCCTTGAAAGTAAAAGAGGTCTGTTCCCAATACTTCCCATGGACCATTAGGTATTTCTTTAGATATCATTGGTTCTTTAGTATTAGCTTTTTGTAAACTTTAAACATGTTTGACAATTCAGTACCAAATCTTCAATTTCTTTGGACATTCCTGGCAATATAATATGTTTCTTCCTTTGATCTTGCATTTTACTACTCCTAAATTGACCATAATGAATTCTGCTTAACATATCTTTTCGTAAACTTCTTGGTACAACAACACAGGAATTTTTAAATATTAATCCATTTGCTTCTGATAAGTTCTTCTCTGAAAGTTAAAATATGGTTTTTGCCAGTTCTGGAACCATACATTTTTCATCTGGCCATCCAGTTTTAATTAATTATTTTCTCAAAACTTGTAGTTCTTCTTCATCTTTTTTCTGTTTCCAGTTGAAAAACTTCCATTTTACCATTAGACATTGGTATACATTCTACAACTAATCCAACATTGAGCTTCTATTTCTCCTTCAAAGAAATCAGATCCTTTATCAGTGAATGATCTTGATAATGCATCCACTATAAAAAGTTCTTTTCCTGGTTTATATTTTTATCTCAAACTGATATGGCTGTAATCTTATACGCATTCTTTGTAGTCTTACTGGGCATTTATTTAATGGCTTTTTAAAAATTGATTCCATAGTTTATGATCACTTTCCACAGTAATATTTTTTCCAAATATATACTGGTGAAATTTCTCACACGCAAATACAATGGCTAAAGTTTCCTTTTCAATTTGAGCATAATTCTTCTGTGTATCTGTTAATGCCTTAGATGCATATGCCACTGGTAAATTATTCTGCAGTAAAGACTGCTCCTAGTCCTTCTTGAGATGCATCTACAGATAAAACTACTGGCAATGTTTATATCATAATACTGTAAAACTGGTTTATTTACCAGAGGCATCTTTTAGTCTTCTAAATGCTTTTTCATGTGTTGCATTCCAGTTCCAGATAACTTGTTTTTTCAACAAATCCTCTTAAACATGATGTCAATTCTGATACATTAGGTATAAATCTAGAAACATATGTAATCATTCCTAGGAAAGTTTCTAATTC